TTCCTATAAGATGCTTTTTTGGTTGCTAATGAGAAACATTAACGAGAAAGCACAACAGTTATCCTGTAGAAGAGAAACAGGATCTTAAGCCAGGGTGTTCTTAGGAAAGTGAGGAAACACAGCGGCAAAGAAGCGCACAAAGCCCACGGGGCAAGGAGGAGAGCCAAGGGTAGGAGGAAGCCACTGCTAAAAAGAATCAAGATGTAAAATAAACTTTTTCTCCACTTTTGAGTGGGTTCTGGGGTCATTATCCTGGGAAATCTTCAAGGAGCAAGTTTGTCTATATTTGGACTTTCCTCCACTTACCTACTCATTTCCTGCCCAAACCCTGTACTTTCTGGAACTAGAAATTGATGGAAAAAATCCTTAGAAAGCAGAAACTTTTTAACTGTAATATACAGTAGGAAGAAAAGGATGGAGACCTGGATTGCCTTTAGGGATCACACTTGAGCTGAGGAAAACCACATGTCAGTGGGAAGAATCTGGTAGCTAAAACAAACAAAACAAAAAGTGCCTGGGCTATCTCTGGAGTCAGGGCTAAGTGTTCCAAGGCGGCCTTACGCAGCACCCTGGGCTTAGGGCTAGTGTTAGGGTAAGGCACCACCAGGCTCCCTGCCCAAACGCAGACCCATGAGGTTCTACAAAGAGCTTTTGCTACAAAATCACCAGAGCCACTGCTTCCATTTTCCTTTCTTCAACGCTTCAAAAAGAATGAAGCTGTCTCCTCCAGAGCCCCCACAAGAAGCAAACAGACCAAAAAATGACATCAGGTGGGTGTCAGATTGTCTGGAAAAAGCTGCCTGCTGACTGCTAAATCGGTGAGGCACTATTTACCAAAGGAGAGGACTCGTCAGGAACTTGCCCCTCCAACCGGGGTCTGGTTCACTGCAGGCTTTTCAACATGAGTCAATCCACACTCCATCAACCGCTCTCTGCCATGGACGCCCTTTTGGGAAAAATGCTTGTAATGCTTCTCATATTTCTAAAATCAAGACCTAGTATTTCATTTTTTTGTTAGTCCTATTTTATATTCACAGAAAATATAGCTCATTGTATATCTCACTATTAGGGTTCTTTTGTCACTGTATTAAATTCTATTTGTGTGATTGTCTTCTAGCTAGACCATGAGATCCTTAAGAACAGGCACTTATGTTACTCTTCCTGGCACATAGTTTAGGTGTCTAATTAATGTATATCAAATAAACGAAGGAACCTTCACATTTTATTTACACATGGAGCAACATTATTTAAACATCGGATAAATCCGGGGCTGGCCTGGTGGCACTGCAGTAAAGTTCGCACATGCCGCTTCTCGGCAGCCCAGGGTTCGCCAGTTCGGATCCCGGGTGTGAACATGGCACAGCTTGGCACACCATGCTCTGGTAGGCATCCCACGTATAAAGTAGAGGAAGATGGGCAGGGATGTTAGCTCAGGGCCAGTCTTCCTCAGCAAAAAGAGGAGGATTGGCAGTAGTTAGCTCAGGGCTAATCTTCCTCAAAAAATAAAATTAAATAAATAAATAAATATCAGATAAATCCAATTGCTACAAAACAAATGGAGTTGGACATTGGTCACATTTTGGCTACCTAGCCTCCATTCACCCTTCCTAAAAAGCACCAACTTCTCTGGAGGGCTTAACTTTCCTCCACTACATGTCATCTTCCTGAGCAGTACCGGCCTCCCATTCTGAAAGCTGGACAGCAAGTGGTCACATGACTTAGCTTGGCCAATCAGATGATATCTCCCAGGACTCTGACTCAGTAGCACATAGAAAGAGGAAATGACTGGACACTATCCATGATGCAGAAATGTACTCACGACTTCTTCTTGTGGTTGGCCATTGTTCCACTTTCTAGCTCTGCTCGAACCCTCAAAGTTCTCATTTATTTGCAAGCCTGGTCCTCAAGCATTTTCACCTTAATTCTTTGAGCCTGTACATTGTAGCTTTCCCCAAATTATCTTTGAATATGCTATCAAATTAGTTTCTGATGCTTGTAGCCAACAACACTGATTGATATATAATAGCAAGGACCATGCTGAATTAGCAAACTCAAATAAAACCAAACAAACAAAAAATGAAGTGGCCAGTATGGCTTGGCAAAATACTTAATTGTTAGATATTTTACACCTCAAATGATACCTAGGATCTCTCTGTCCCTTGATATGCAGGAAAAATTAGCTGGAGCCTCTCAAGTCTACAGCCCATAGAAGTCTAAAACTTCCTCTTAGATTTCTGAAGTTTCCCCGGGCATTTATACTCTTCTGCTATCCTTTGCCTTTTGGGTGTCCATTTTCACACACGCATTCTCTCTTCCAAATCACATTTACCCAGGCAGGAAGGTCAGGCATCTCACCAACACACACTCACACACACACATATTCACCTAAAATACAGCAGTATAGTACAAGTATAGTATAGTAGGAGGGAGTGTGGTTATATGACCTTGAGCAGGTTACTTAGCCTCTTCCTGCCTTAGTTACCACACATTGTAAAACAGGGATAACAATGACATGGGCCTCATGGAATTGCTTTAAAAGTTAAATGGAATAATACACGTTAAGTTTATAGCTCACACATAGTAAACATTTAACACTCAATTCCTAGCCAAGTTAAAAAACTTTGCTGAAGAACTGGGCACTGGGAGAGGTCAACACACACATCCTACACATTTGAAACAAGCTAACACATACAGATATGCAACCTAACTCCTCCCAAAATCCCTGACAGCCACCAATGCCACTGGATGCTTCGCCCTTTTCCAAGCAGAGCCCATACTCTCCGTCTTCTCTGAATCTTCTCTCTTCTCCAACCTTCTCCCTCCTCTGTTCACTCATGTTCCTGTCCTCAGAGGAAGTAAAAAATTCCTCTCCTGTTCCAGGGACCTAGGCCCTTCTGCTCTCACTGGACATAGGCCCTTCACCAAGTGATGATATCTCCCTACCAGAAAAAGAATTTCCGGTTCCCGCTCTCAAAATGATAAAATTTACTCAACTTTGTTATACCCAGAACATCAGTTTCTAGACCCAGTTGTTTGCATATCACCCTGTGATTTTTTTCACATTCAATCATTAATGAATATTTTTAAATTACGTAATACTTTTTCCTTTAAATAAACTTACTCTTAAATTTTAAATAAATGTCTTTTAACATGAAATTTTATTTCACCACTATAAGTGGTAAAATAGTATTACTCACCACAATAAGTTTACCTTAAAATAAATATTTATTTTAAAATAAAAAAGATGTTCATATAACACCCAAATTATTATGCATTACTAATGATCCATGCATCACAATCTAGTAATTGTGAGCCTAAAGTACGTCCTTTATTATGAACACCCAGAGGCTGGACTGGGAAGTGAATGAGTGGAAAGTCTGTGGCATTTGCATGTTACTAACATTGTGGGGAGAGAGGGAGAGTGGGTGAGAATGAGCATATGTTGATGGGATCAGGTTAGAAATCTGACGGAGAGGATGGTCCAGAGACAAGATTCTGGGACTGATATCATCTTGTATCCTGCATGGCTGTTCCATAGCACCCAGGAGAACAGCTAACGTTCATTTTAATTGAATTGTATTCCGTCGTTAGAATCCAGTGCTGCTATAAATAAATGTTGAAAAGCTAGAAAAGTGAGGGATCATAATAGCTGAATTATCCAAAAAGAAGTGCATTTTAACCAAGTGACGAAGTTTGATACAGTATCTGAAACTCAAAACAATTTCATAACCTATCACCATTTTGCTCACTTGGCCGTTCAATTAACAAAAATAAAATTGATATTCTCTAGATTCCATTATACTTTCTCTGTACAAATAATGTCACAAACTTTTAGAGGAAAATTAAACAAACAGCACTGACCTCAAAGTCTGTGTTAAAGTCTTAAGACTCTGCCCCATGTCAATGTGTTAGGTAAATAAAGTCCACAATGCTTCCATTGAGAGTGTATAAAATTATTGCTAAAAATACAGAGCCTCTTGCATCTCTAGGTGTTCTAGAACACAAAACTATTTGAAATATATGTAGTAATAGCAATGACTGGCTGATCACCAGTTCTTCAATAAATACCCACCATGTGCCAGGTATTATGCATGAGACACTTTCCACGCTTAAGGAATTTCCAGGTTTGAGGTGATAGCACACCTGTGCAACTCAAGTCACTTTTACACTAGAGCTTCCGCCAAGATATCTGACAGCTCCTCTTTGTCGCAGCTTTCTGCCACCTCAGACACAGAGGCACAGTGCCCCTGATCTATACCCAAAGCTTTTCCACAAGGCTCAAGTGAAAGGGAAACTGCTCCTGCGATTGCACGAGGAAGCTATTTGTTTTCAGAATGTCTTCCAGCTATTGCTACCTACAGCTAATCCTCAGCCTCAAGGGCCAATTCATAACATTTAAACCTTATTGAATACAAATTTCTTCACACTATTTGGTTGTACCAAATAAAATGCAGCGAGCCTTTAAAGAAAAAACTTCCCTAGGAGTCATCCTACTATTTGATCTCCAAGGGTTGCAGGAAAACAAAACAAAAACCTTTTAGTTTATATAACTACACTATGCAACTATCATGGCACATAATCCAATGACCTCATTGACAAAAGAAATGAGCAAACTAGAACCTGTTATAAAAAGCTATCTGAATACGTATCTAAAGTTTAGATGTACAGATGGATATTCTTAAACTATTTTTAACCCATTTAAATACATCTTCTTTCTTCCTATCGTAGAGATGAAGATCTGTTTTAACGTAACAGCATCTCCCATAATGCAGACCTTTAATATAGGCATCTGGAAACATTTACAGCCATAGCATATTTAACACTTAAGTAGAAATGAAAAAAGCACTAATAACTGAATAGTACCACATTCATGATTATATATGAAACGAAGAAAATTCATATCTATTAGCTTTGTAACTCAACTAAAACAGATTTTTCAGAAGCCTCATAATTCAAATGACCATAATTTATAGCACAATATAGACAGAAATGTAACATACCTCACATTAGCATCAAGTTCGTCCATTACAGGAAATAGGCATGGGTGAAGTGGATTTCAGTGCCCACAGGGTCCTATAATAAGGGAATAAAAAAGAGGTAATGTAGGAAAATAAAAGTCTAAGTTAAAGGAAAAAAATGCCTAATAATCATTGTTTTCTATTTATCAGAATTTTTGTTTTGTAGAGTACCAGAAAAGTATTTCATAAACAATACTACAGCAAAAGGCTATTGGCATAGTGAGGTATGGCATAGCTGAATATTGCAAAAAGTTTCTTTACATTTTACTAATCTCCTGGAGATTAAAACCAACAAGTACTTCTTCTCACCTCGTCTTAGTCAGTTTACTTGTTATTCTTCTTCTCCTCCCGGAAACATGGCTTATTTACATGGTCTGCATTAGGACTTTGCCTAAAATAGTCAGCCATCTTGTTTCCAAAAGGATTTTTGGGTTTTTTTTTTTAAATCCTTTTTGAGAGGGGGTAATCATATATTCCTTTGAGAATCCAGTAAACTCTTGAGAACTCTCTGCCTAGAAAAAAAATACACATGCATGCACATACACACACACTTTCTGAGGAGCCCACCACTCCTTGAGGCCCATCCATGAACCCCAGGCTAAGAGCTCCCAATGGAAAGGGAGTTAAGTTTCAAACTACCAAAGCCCCTAGCATAGACTCTCAGAAGACCTCCCCCGGTTTAATGGGTGGGCACTCACTGATCTCCTCCAAACCGGCCCTCTCAGTTGACTGTGCAGTTTCATTTTTCAGACGAATGCCTATGTTTTTCATCGCGTTTGTTCTACAATATGGTGAATCAGAGAACGTGGGGCCAGAGCCTGGTCTGTTTCTTCCAGGGTTACCCTATGCAAGTCCCTTTTTCCTTCCAAAATTCATCACCCACTTCTCAATAAACAGAAGAGACTGGAAGAGATGATCTCTGGGTTCACTTTCAGCTCTGATATTCTTTAATTCCATCTGCTGGCTTTCTAATCAAATCTTACCAAGAAGAAACCGTAAATCTGTTTAGCTACATAACAGAACCGTGAAACTCAGCCTGAGCTCTTGGATGCTTTGGTTGGGGTGGACCAAACACATATGCTGGCAGCCCACCAGAGCTGGAAAGGATGGGATCTCTCTGTGCTTTTCAATATTTGTTCTTTAGAGCCTCTAAGATTAACATGGGCTCCCATGGGCATTTCTGGGTGTTGGGCAGGTGTGGGGAAAATGCAGCCTACAGCACTCTGAACCTCCTATTAAGCTCAAGCAAAGTAGCTCTGTCCATTTCTATTTGTTTTATGTTTTGAATTCGGAATGACGTTTCGGTTAACAATGGACCGCATATACAACGGTGATCCCATAAGACTAGTACCATGCAGCCTAGGTGAGTAGTGGGCTATATCATCCAGGTTTGTGTAGGTACACTCTATGATGTTCACACAACGAAACTGCCTAACACCACATTTCTCAGAACATATCTCTGCCATTAAGTGACACATGACTGTATTTGAAATACTTAAGTACAAAGCCCTAACTATTGAAGCTACAGGGCTCCATCCTCTTTCCTCCTTTATCTGAAATCATTCCTCAAGTGATCACATCCATTCCCATGGCTCAAAATACAGCCTCTTCACTGAACATTCCCAAAGCTACAGCTCTAGCCTAGGCCTTTCCCAGACTCATATCAGCTACCTGACATCTCAACTTGGGTGATTAAAAAGCATTTCAAACTGAACTCTTGATTTCCCACTCTCAACACAAAAACCTGCTGCTCCCCTAGTGTTCTGCATCTCAGTAAATGGCTTCACCATTTACCCAGTTACTCAGACCAAACATCTTCTTTTTCTCACACTCTACAACTAAACTATCAGCAAGCTCACGCTCTACTTTGAAAATGATTCTTCAACCTGACTCTTTCTCATTACCTCCAAAACCAGCACCCAGGTCCAGGCTACCATCTCCTTTCCCAGGAATACCACCACACCCTCCTAACTGGTCTCTTGCTGGCTCCACTATCATCTCTTCTCCCCACAGTACCCAGAACGGTATCTTTAAAATGAAAGTTAGATCATTTCTTGCTTGCATAAAATTCAGTGGCTTCCTGTCACACTTGGAATAAAATCCAGACTCCTTATCATAGCCAACCAGACTCTCCATCACATGGTCCCAGCTCCTCTCCAGTCTCAATGTTAGCCATGCCCTACCCCTCCTCATTGCCTTTGAGCTCAATGGTTTTGCTACCTCCCTTGACCATAGAGTGGGCTTTCTTAGCGCGTTTTCACTTGTTTCCTTTCCCTGGAACGCTACCATGTAGATCACTCCCTCATTTCCTTAGGGATACTGCTCCAATGTTACTTCCTCATAGAAGTCTTCCCTGACCACCTAAATAAAACTTCAGACTTCATTTTCTAAAAGTGTCTATCCCCTTTATCCACTCTATTTTTTCTTCCGAGTACATACATTACATATACTCAATTGTTTCTTTATTAGTGATCTGTCTCCCTCACTGGAATGTAAGTTTCAAGAGAGTATAGCAATATTTTGATCACTATTATATCCTCAGTGCCTAGAAAAATGTCTGGTATATTATATTGTCTTCATAGATATTTGTTGAGTCAACTAAGTAGCTAGTTAGTTTTGCAAATGAGGAAACTGAGGTTTGAGAGTTTGTGACTCTCTCACTGGGAGGAAATATATGCACTATCCTAGAGTACAATATTGTAATTTTTGAAAGTGGAAAAAAACCTTTCATCTTATTTGGTTACCCTTTACTAAGCATTAACAAGTACCAAACACTGCCATTTCCCTCCTCCTTCAAACTCTGAGTCTTTACCTCTTTTGTTAGATAAAGAAAATAAGGGTCAAAGAAGTTATTTGTCTTGCCAAAGTTGCACAGCTAGCACTTGATCAAACTGGGAATAGAATCCAGGGCTGTGAATTCCAAAACTCAAGCTTTCTCTTGCATAGTTCTTGTCATCATATCACGCTTCTTCCCACTAGAGCAAGGGGATCTCCTGAAGAAAGTAGATATAATGCTATATTTTCTGCTGGTAATCGATTCCCTCTTTCTCTGAAAACAGTGCCTTGATTTTCCTTCGTGGAACAACCCCTCCCATGCCTCAATCCCTAGCCTCAGTCATAAGCACATGACCAGGACTGGTGATGGGGTTCAGGGCACATTGATTACTTTGATTTAAAGTTTCTTAAATACTTAAGAAACAGCCAGTGCAAAAAGGACTCTCTGACTCTCCTTTGTCCCCCTGAGAGCAGGAAATAAATCTCCCAAGTGAAAGGTACTCTCCTTGCACTAGGAGGTAGAGAGACATCCTTATCATCAGAGAGAGGAAATTCAGAGTCAAGAAGGATGTGCAAACAAACTCTGTTTATTTCTTCACTAGTTACTATCCAAGCCTAAGTTTTTTTTCATCTTCTCAGTTCCTCACAAATTTATTGTTTCTTTGTCTAAAAGGTATAAAAGCTGTCTGCTTTGGTCATTTCTTTGACTCTCATATTCTTATAGAATCCCCATAAATGTGAAATTAAAATTGACTTTCTCCTGTTAATCGGTCTCCTGTCAGTTTAACTCTTAGACCAGCCAGAAGAGCCTAGAAGGGTAGAGGAAAACTTTTTCCTCCCCAACGGTTGGCATAGCCAGCAGGATTCACTTCACCGGCTGGACACTGCTCACTCCAAGGCTGCTGCAGCTGAAAGATCCTGGGATCTCTGATAAAAAGCCAGCAGAAGGTAAGAACACTTACTATATCACTCTCCTGGATCTCTGCTTTCAGGGTCCTATGGAAGCAAGAATAGTAAGAGTCCTTCTTTCCTTTTCTAAATTTAGATTAGCAGGAGAAAATATTTGTGGAACTCATTCCTTAGACACAGCAACTCTGGTAAAGATTTGGTAATCAGTATTGTCAGTTTTTATTGATCCTTTTCCTCCCAGAGATGGTCACTGTTTTTCTTTGTCTCTGTCTATTGTGTCTTTTGTCATAAGGAGAAAACACAGGGCAGAATGCAGGCATAGGCCCTATAAGCCTGCTGTTCGAGCTGGCCTCATAGACTGGTGGGCTCATGGTTCTCACCAGATCAGCATCTATTTAAACAAACTTTGTTGTGGGTCCCCTATGTAAAAACTGGATGAGGTTTTCCCTTTCATGTCGTTCTATGTCTTGAGAGCTTGACTTTGTGACCAGTGAGAATATTCTCTCTGGTCTCCCCTATCTGAGAGATGCACTTACCAGGCCAGAATGCACCTTGGTGGCAAGTTGAATAGACTGGGGTTCTGAGACATGAAGCCACAAACAGCTCTCTTTGTCCAGCCATGCCAGCTCTCAGGGGAGTTTGTCATGAGGGATCTCAGACCATAACGGGCCTTTGTTGTCCCTATCTTGATTGCTTTGTTAATGCTAGAAATATTCCATTTCAGTAGAGCCGGCCCAGTATCACAGGTTAGAGGGGCTGGACTGGAGGCATCTCACATTCCCATGAGAGACAAGAGACACTGTTTTCACTACACCATCCTTACTGCCTGTGCAACAAAGGCCTTTACTTTCTTAGACTATCGTTGGGAATAAGCTTTCTGGATCTTATACAAGCGTTGCATATTTTACACTTTCTTGTGGGATGCCTCTTCCATCCTTGTGTTTACTGGTTTGAGCACCTATTGAGATTAATATAAGATCCTACTCGTCAATGGTCAGATGATGATCCTTTAATTGGCTATATTTGAAACAAAAAGAAAGATTTAGAGAGCTCTCATCCTACACAATTGTTTTATTGGTACCTATAAGAAGACCAAATTAAAAAGTGGATACAAAGAAATATAATGGCTAGCCTTCAGGACTCCTTTTAACAAGATGAAAGAACGGAAATTAGAACAAAAATTAAAACTCCACATACAGCGTAAATTCCTCCTTCTTAAAATCCGAAGAATATCCTAGTACACCTGCTTATTTTATGTCTAAGAATTGCAGTCCCAGAAGCTGTAGATATCTTTAAAAAAAATATTGAAAGCAACTGTCCTTATCTCAAAAATCTTTCAAAACTAAAAAGAAAAATGCAGCTCAA